AATATCCACTCTTCGCTATCTCCTGGAATATCGTCACCTCTACCGTAGACCCACCATTGTCACTTTCCTGGATATTCAGGCTGCGTTCGACTCGTTAGATCGACCTGCTTTATGGAACTGCCGGCTGAAGAATGGAGTTCCGGAAAAGTACGTCACTATACTTCGCACGTTTTACCTCCGTACTTCAGCCTGAGTGAGAGCTTATGACACACTTTCCCCACTCTTCCCTGTCATCAGTGGCGTGAGAAAAGGATACCAAATGTCAAAGTTTCTATTTAACTTTGCGATGGACGATGCCCGTTTGGGAGCTTAAGAGGGCCTGTATGAATTCGGCATCGCGCTTCTCCCAAGTAATCGCGCGACCGACTTAAACTACGCTGATGATATCGCCTTGCTTGGTGACGACCTCCATGGGATGCAACCGTTCATTGATCGATTGGTAATTGAGGCGTCTAAGTTTGGTATGTGCTTTTCCCCCTCCAAGTACAAAGTTCTTCTACAGGACTGGCAGGCACCCCTTCCCCAATGCACCATCGAAGACACGCAGTTCGAACATGTAGATAGTTTTATCTACCTAGGGAGCTGCATCTCTACCGACGGCACTATTGGAGTAGAGGTATCCCTTTGAATCGCTAAAGCCAAGTGCAAGAAAGACAGTTGGTGCATCGGGAAATTAAACGTGCAGCACGCAAGCATCAACTGCCGGCGGACTACAATTGATTAGCTACGCCCACACGGAGCGGTAATGCATGCGGCTGTGTCTGCCTTAGCCCAGTCGGTCTGGCCAGTCACCATCTAGGCCACGATGGGGCTATGCTGAATAGACCAAATGTGAGACCGAACACCACAGCCTGACATGTAGCCCTTGGTGGGACACAACTGGGAAGAGATACCAGAACTCAGGTGTTAGTTAGCATGTGCGGACAGTGCAGGTTAAATCGGCCAAACATTATGGAGGAAGGTGAGTCCGAACGGAATCCCCTTTCTCTCGCAACATCGGAAACGAAGACTTGAGCTGATACTACACTAATTCATCGTATTGCAGTGCAGCGATAACCACCCATAGTTTCTGTAAAGACACAGGCGCACTGTACTTTCCCTACTGGTAATTCGAACACAGATGCCCACATATGGGTGCCCATGTTGAGGTTTGATTTTGCATACATCATGCTTCTTCCTCGCAATTGGGCTGCAATGACTTACGTTACCGTTACCAAAGACTCCCAACACTTTACTGATTACGGTATCCAAAAGCAACGCATCCTCGCCTTAGCGGCAAATCTGTAATCTGGTGGACATGTCCAAGTTGGATCATGCACACAAAGATCAGTCGCTCCGGAGCCTCAGTGGAAAATGAACAGTCCCAGGAAGCAAGTGACTAGCGATTAACATGATGGTGTTGATGTTTCATGTTCTGTTTTACGTTATTCGTTACAGTGAGTGGAGTTATGATTCCCGTTCTTCATCCCGCCGACTTTAATTCAGCTGAGCTTATGAAATTGAGTGAACTCAAGCGTACCATTTCCTTGCTAACTTGAAAAGTCGCTTACTCCATCTCCATCATCTTTGTGTCATCCTTATTCTATCGCTAATCTAAGTCGTGCTTGGGTACAGTTTCTCTTTAGAATGATTACTGACTTGGTGCAATGCAGTATCTTTATTGAACCTGTCTATGACGGAAGAGCCACATCTAACGTATCTTTTATTGGCCTTACTAAATTAGGTTGGATGTCGCGATCACTTCACGTGTTGCCCACCACACTTTCGTAATCTTCGTGACCTATGATACTCTTGCTAGCTTCTCAAGTGGATTCTGGTACGGTGACATGCCGAGACGGCGAGCTACAACATCTCCCTCTTCGTATTATTATTCGTCCGCGATTCACATCACTATGTAAGCTCCACGGTATTGCTCACCAAACTATGGGAGACTGTCACTATCGCTTTTGCTGCCTACATTACTAGATTACATGCCCCATGTCGACCAGCTTTCCAATACTAAGTAGCACGACGCTCAGAGAGCTGGTGCAGCGCAGGACAAAGGTTCAGTCTATACATGAGCTCATCCGTATTTGGCATGTGTGCGGTTTCCGAGCGAATTGAATTGTTTGTACGGATCTATGCTAGGGGGATAAGTGTGAATCAAAGGTTATCAGTGCGTAGACGCTTACAGTACATATAAGTGCAAAGTTTGAAATTTGGAACACAATGCTCAACGATTTTCCTTCGTGTGACCATGCATCCGGGGAAAAACCACCTTGGAAAATGAATAACCCCAACAATTAACTTCCTAACAATTATCAATTATCTTTGCACGATAGCCAGCTGTTTGTGACGGTATGTTGTCTACACAAGGTGTGGGCGCCTTGACCCAGAATGTTTGTTTAGGGCATTAAGGTTTTCAGGTAAGTCCACCTTCTCTCCCTCTTCTTATTCTTTATTTCATAGGTCCTCATGGTTGTATGGCAGCGAAGCATCAGTTCAAATGGCTGATGTACTGCTGATGATGATGATGTTGATAGTTATGTTCTGTCCCACATGTTAGTGATGAGAGTGAGCATAGCTATAGTTCCCGTTGTTCAGCACCCATACTGTACTTAACTGCGCTTATGAAAATGCAAGGACTATGCAGATTAAAGGCGGAATCGCAGAGGCGCCTGCTAGAGGTTGAAATAGACATAGCCAGTATTCTGGGTAAACTAAGAAGGTAATAGCAACGGTAATGATCCATAGGAAAGAAATAAGAGCATAGCGACAATTGTTTAGGAGCGCCAAATAGCTGTAACAGAAAGGTACGATGACAGATCGTTGCCAAATAGCTTATGGCCACAGCAGAGTACACAACTGTGTGCCAACGGTTGAGTACTTGGATGACAGTCAGGCTACTTCCTGGAGATTTTCTAAACAGTGAACACAGTTTCGAAATCCAAAAGTTTGAAAGTGAGCATCGGGATCTAGTTGAGGTAGTACTGCGGTTACTGTCGCGATAAAGACGTAAAAGGCGAATGTGTGATATGACCACCCGTAAATGCTTAAGGTCGCGCAAAAGACATCCTTTGAGAATCCGCATGAACGTCGAGCAGCAGATGATAAGACCGGTGCAGTCTTAAGCGGGGGCGGCAACAAGGAGAACCTGAAGTTGACACCCATCGCATTCGCACACTGTACGATCTCCTCCATCAGCTCCGCAAGCCTGACTTTACATTTAGGGGGGAACACCTCGATACACACTATTTTACTGTACCTCTTATTTATTTATCATTCCATTTAGTAACCGTACTGATGGCACTTGCTTTCCTATTCCCATATCGGTTTTGATCAAATATTGATGCCCAAGATTAAAAGCTATCATTTAGGTTCACGTTTAAATGTTAACAAAACATCGACAGTTCGTATTGGTTACTTATTCTTGCACGTAAGTTTGTGAAAGTTGCTGGTAGCCTTACCTCCAAACCAAATCCATGCACGTTCGTAGTACTATTGTTCATGAGGGTTAGTGTTTCCCTATCCAGTTTTTGGTAGTTCATACTTAAGTTTGGACAAACGCATATGCATATGTTGTATTCGAACTGCTATTGGACACGGGTGCCACTAATCCATGTATATATGTATCCCGAATAAATGGGATGAGGATACTTATACAGCCTTCGTACGGCCAACTTAGTGTAGGGAAACGGCACGCAAGCAAACAGAAATTATGTTACCAGGACATGAACAAGGTGAGTTTATCACGAACTAATGTTGATTTCAGGTGTTGGGAATCAAAGGGCAGAGTTGATAGGTGCGAATGCCGTGGGCTGATCAAGAAAGCGGTTGCTCCGGTGCAGGAGAGGGCACAACTGCACATGGAGGAGAAGCGCTGAGTACAGAAGCGACAGACTAGAATGGATTTTAGACTATCGACGTCGAGCGCATGGTGTTGTAGCACATGCGGTCGTGAGTGCATGATGGAAGCGGGTTCGGTAGGTTACCAGCGTGCACACGTGAGGTCAGCAACCAAAAGACGACGAGCCAACTGATTATTTAGGCATAATCAGCGCAGCGATTGGTAGGTGCGATGCGCCCGCTCCCATTCGGTTTATTACCCCAAGCCAAGAAAGCGCCTGATGTGGTACGTGTGCCACATGAGCATCGAGATTGGTCTGTACATTGTGTCTACGTGTTGAGCTTCTTGCATTTCAGGGGCTGGTCATCGCTAATTTATACCTCTGGTGTGGCCGTGGTTGATGTGAATGTTGGCCAAGTGCTTACCTGTCGATTACCTACCACATCGTCTATATTGGGTCTAGGAGACAGTTGGTCGTTACTGGAAGGGACGGGGGGCACGGTCCTCGTGACTATGTTGGGCTCAAAGAGTAGTTCCATGCACGTGGCTTGTGTGTGGTGCGGGCTACGGTCAAGCCACCGACTTATGTGCGATTGATTCCCCAAATGCAGCGTGCTTGTGAAAGAGTGTGGGTCGGCTCCACTGATGGAACGTGGTTCACATCCACATGCTTCCCGGTCTTATGCCCTCGGGTTTACACCGGATATGGGGCGTGGATGGAACTGTGGGTTGTGCAGCACAACCCACCCATTGTCTCTCTGTAAGCGCCGGCGTCCAGTGGCTGTCCCCGTGGAGGCCACAGTGAAAAATCCGGACACGGATGCCGCCAATACATGTTACGCATCTGCGACCGAGCGCGCAAGTAAATACAGCATAATAATTTTCCGCCACCGTACGATTTGGAAAATGATATGGTTCAGCAAAACGGGAAAATAGCTACGTCCGAAAACTGGAACCAAGATAGACCTGAGCTTGTATGCCAGAAGTGGGAGAAACATGCGTAGGAGATTGTTAGCCCCTTTCAGACCATCTTCCTTCTAATCATGACCGTTCAATTCCTCCAAAAGCTCTCTTCGGATGGCTGCAGTCTGATCCTCCTAACCAATATAAGCATGTACTAACGCTGCGGTCGATAAATCATGTCGCTTCACCAGCCTAAGGATCTGCACAGAAAGGAACGTATCGCTTCCAGGAATGAGAGCATAAAATTGTGCGGACCAGGTTATAACGATACCCACGAAATAGAAATGAAGTGAAACCGGAAAAACGAAATGTAAAATAAATCTGAGTACACATAGATATCACAGATATACACATGAACATCAATTTACAATCGTGTTGAAGTCAGTCAACTGGCTCCCAGAGCTAGAACGAAGCAATCGTGTCTAGGAGAACGAACCTCGATACAGAATATCTGACCACTACTATCGACTAGTCTGCGAGGGATAAGACCTTTCCACGGCCTTTGAAACTGCGAGCGCTTGCACAGAAGATGTTAGTGGGTCAGATGAAGATGTCGGACGATGCGCGCGAGACATATTCATCTGATCCACTGTCATCGTCGGTGCAAGCGTTTGCAATCTCGGAGGCCGTAGAAGGATCATATCCCTTGCAGACCAATCGACGGTAACTGTCAAATATTCTGTGTCGAGCTTCGTTCTCCCAGATACGATCGCTTCGCTCTAGTTGAGAAGCCAAAGCGTAAGTGATAAGCTTGTGAGTGGCTGAAACGGGATGGCCTGGAGGAAAATGTACATGGCGAGTCTTCCGAGAAGTTCGATCGATTGTGGTTGGTAAATGTGTGGTACGCTCTCCGGTAGAGTAGTAGGAATTCCATTTAGAGTTTATTTCAACTAGATCTGGTAGAGCGCTCCTGGGTTCACAGTTGAAAGCAACGGTGCCATTCCAAGATCGTAACTCTATGCTGCAAACACTAGCACTGAACGTATTGCTAACCACGTGCTGCGTCTCCAAGGTGAGCCGTCTGCAAGGTTCGGTTTGTGTTCCGGATTCTCCCTCATCTGTTCCTTCGTCATCATCTTCACAAGACGTCGTCTGGTAAAAACAAGAACGGCCTCTAGGAATGAACACATTGCGAAAAGATGCAGAATTGTCGTTTGCGGAATCATCATCATCGTTCAAGTATAATAACGCGAACAGTTCACGGGCATGGGAAAGGCACACGGCGCGAACGGACTGTACACCGAAGGCGGTTTTCACTAGAGCCGTGAACTCCTGCTGCACTGCCACAGAGTGGACAGAAGATGCACAGACAATCTTTTTCGAGAGGCGTCTATTCAAGGACAAACCGTGAAGGACAGCTTTGATTGCGCGGGTCAAACTGTGCAGTGGCTGCGCCCTGGGAGTACGTTTGCCTGGTAAATTCTTCCGTGACTCACGACATTCACGAAGGATACACCGGTGGTAAAGGAGACGGTAGCGGCATTGTGTGCAACGTAGAAACTTCCAAACAACGCGGAACTCGGTATCCGGGAGGAGTGCGTGAGGTCCAAATGGGGCTTGAGTAGGTGTTACCTGAACAAGGGCATACAATGAAGAATTTAGCAAGAGTACAACTGCCAGAACAATATGATCAGAACGAAGAAAAGCAGAAAACACGAATTTGGAGAAAACAGATATGTACACAAAGTCACGTGACAAGGGCTGTCATACTATTGCGATTATTGTTAGTTTCTAGTAAAAATTGTCAAACGTCGAAAAGTTCGCTGAGCAGTATGCGCGCAAATTAACACCAGGGAGTGTAGATGACGAGATGCGTTCTGGTGCATCTATGCATTAGGATGGATGAATTATGGAGTATATAGGTGCCACCCCAGTTCTGACGATTAACCCAGAAGTGATATCAGCAGTATGCCGGCGTGCCGCACAGACGTTTCGCTGATACATGACCAACACCAGTCGCACGCGCCGGCTAGGGATACTGCGAGAGTCGCCCGCAGCTACACAGCTTCGGACTGATGACCTCTGGGCTAAAAGGCAGACGAATCAGTTCCATGCACACACCCCATATCCAGTGTAAACCCGAAGGAATAAGACCGGGAGGCATGTGGATGGGAGCCACGTTTCATCAATGGAGCCGGCTTCGAACTGATGACCACTGGGCTAAAAGGCAGACGAATCATCCCTTCGGCCGGTGACCGAAGGGAACCTCTGAGACTGACGCTAGAACAATTAAAGGAAATATATGAAGGAGATGCATCGTACCATCGGGGAAATAATTTATCGTGGATGCCACCCATTAATATGGTTGGCGGCATCCGGTTTCGGAGTTACCTGTCACTATGGCCAGCCATAGGGCGCCTGCGCCTACAGAGGGGCCATGGATGGCTAGCGCTACACCACCCACAGCTCCATCCACACCCCCCATATCCAGTGTAAACCCGAAGGAATAAGAACGGGAGGCATGCGGATGGGAGCCAGGATTCATCAACGGAGCCGACCCACACTCCTTCACAGGCAAACACAAGCACACTGTATTTGGGAATCAAGCGCACACAAGGCGGTGGCTGGACCGTAGCCCGCACCACACACAAGCTACGTGCATAGAACTACTCTTTGAGCCTAACATAGTCACGAGGACCGTGCACCCCGTCCTCTCCATCAACGACCAACTGTCTCCTGGAGCTAGTATGGACGAAGTAGTGGGTAAGAGACAGGTAGGCACCTTGTCAACATGCACATCAAGCGCAGCCATACCGGGGATATCAAGCAACAGCTAATCACTTGAAACGACAAGATAAAAGAAAATAAATCGGAGAGTGCATACAGATACGGTGGCATAACTCATACCTATATTGGCATATAAAATAAATTGATTACAAAGGAATCCGCGATAAATTCAAGAGGTCAGAAAATATAATTTAAGGAAATGCTACAAACGCGAAAACGTTATCTAGATTAACTACAATTAGCTTCAGCGAAGCGTGCAAGTTTAGAGAAGATAGTACAGATAGAGAGTAACAGGAGAAAGAAAAGCATTAGGACAAAATTGCAAACCAACCACATGAAATAAAGAGACTTAGCATGCAAGCACGCGGTTAGTAAACCGAATACAGCGTACATACAAACGCTGCGCCGGTTCTGCCTACGTTCTCTGCAGGACCCGTCGTTGCTTTGGTGGTGGTCCCGAGTGGCCTCGTTCATGGCTCACTAGGCCTGCCTGACTCAGGTACTCGCGACCGCATGTGCAACAGCACCATGCGCTCGATGTTGATGGAGTACAACCCATCGGTGCTTGCCGCTTCTTCTCTGCATGCATGAGGTCATTCTTCCGCATTTCGGCAACTGCCTTCGTGATCAGATCGCGCCATGCACATCGATCAACCGCCTTCGATTCCCATGACCTGCAATCAAGATTATCACATGAAAGGCTCACTTTGATCATGTCCTGGTAACGTAACTTTGGTTTCCCCACATGCCGCTTCCCTATACTCAGCTGACCATATAATAGTTGTTTCGGTATCCGCGTCGAATCCATATGCCACACATGACCGAGCCACCTTAGGTGTCTCAGCAAAAGTATGCAGTCCACTGCATACATCCCACTTCGAAGCAACACTTCCGTATTCGCAACTCTGTTGCACTAACCGATGTGTGGAATACGTCGCAGACACTTGATAAAACTGCTCGAGATATCGCACATCCTGCCGGTACATCGTCCAAGTTTCACTGCCGTATAGAAGAACGGGCAGCACCATGGATTTGTACATCAGCAGCTTCGTGCCAATGGTAAGCTGATGGTTGTTCCACACTCGGTACTCTAGCTTCCTGAATACCGCCGCTGCCTTCGACACGCGGATACGCAGCTCACTGTGTAGCTGCTGGTCAGTTGACATAACACTCCCAAGTTAGCAGAAGCGAGAGGTGGTTTCCAATACTTAAGCATCAATGCTGATTCGCGGCAATATTGAAGATTGCACCTCCGGTGAATGCTGCAAGAGACAGATAGTTTTGCTTGTGTTGATGGTGAGCCCGAATTCGGCCGTTGTCGAAGCCAGAGTACTAGTCGTGCTGCAACTCATCCGCGCTGTGTGAAAACAACGCACAGTCGTCAGCAAACAGCAACATACAGATAGTTGTCACACAGACTAGAGTTCCGCACCGAAACGACGGATGTTCAGCAAACCACAATCAATACGGTGCTCCACACGAACACAGTAAGCACAAGCCGCATCAAAAGCACAAGATATCACTGTACGAAGATACATAGTAAACAGCGCAAGAGCTAAGACACAGCCTTGCTTCACAGCAGAGACAAGTGCAAAGTCATCCGAGGTTTCTCCACTCAGCTGCACCCTCGCCCGCATCCCACTGTGCAGACATTCAAGTAAACTTCTAAACTTACGCGGGCAACCAAACTTACCCAACACCAGCCACAATGCCTCGCGGGTCACCGTATCAAATGTCTTGGTGAAATCAACAAAAAGCAAGTACAATGGCTGGTGTCGTCCTCTGCACTTCTCCTGCAACTGACGAGCCGCAAACACCATATCTATAGTGCTGCGACCCGAACGGAATCCACACTGCTCTTCCGCCACATTCGGTTCCACAACCTGACTCACGAGGCGATTGAGCAGGATTCGAGCAATCACCTTGCCCACACAACTCCGCAAGTTGATGCTACGATAATTCGTTCAACATTGCTTTCTCCCTTTGCCCTTGCACAGTGGTAGCACAAGGGCATCCTTCAGTTCAGGAGACGCCTCTTCCTCAATCCATACGCGTTGCACCAAGTGGTGCGGCGCAGTCACCAACGCGGGTCCGCCATGTTTCAATACTTCAGGTGGGATCCCGACAGCTCCGGCACACTTGCCGTTTCGCAGCTGAGCAAGTGCTCTCTGCGTCCCATCCAGTGTCGGCGTGTCCGCCAGACTCGCTTTCACATCGTGCTGCTTCAGGCCGTTCAATGTAGGCCAGTCGATCTCTGAACGGTTGTTCAAGAGACAGTGTTTTTGCCAGATCTATATTATGTCTGCAGTCTGTGTGCAGGTAGCGCCCGAGCTACCATCGATCAGCGTCCTCAGCGGCTCCAATCTCGGTCCATACACGGCCTGTTGACGGCGTTCGGTGTAGCATTCCACCTGCTTCGCCTTCACCATCCACCATGCATTTGTATTGCGACGGAACTCTCCGGTCAGTCACTGGGGTCTGCCACATGTACAGCAAATGCTGCATTTTGCTCATAAACCAATGCGCCAACCGTCGCATTGTTCTCATTAAACCAATCAGGCCGCCTACAGTTTACGTGCTCGATGGTCTCCTCGGCAGCAGCTGTCACCTGGTCGCGAATGTGGCGCCACAGGTCGCACACTGTGGCTGTGCAGTCCACATCACACAGGCGTGCAACCATCGCCTTCTCCATCATCATCATCATCATCATCATCATCATCATCATCATCATCATCATCATCATCATCATCATCATCATCATCATCATCATCATCATCATCATCATCATCATCATCATCATCATCATCATCATCATCATCCTCATCATCATCATCATCATCATCATCATCATCATCATCATCATCATCATCATCATCATCATCATCATCATCATCATCATCATCATCATCATCATCATCATCATCATCATCATCATCATCATCATCATCATCATCATCATCATCATCATCATCATCATCATCATCATCATCATCATCATCATCATCATCATCATCATCATCATCATCATCATCATCATCATCATCATCATCATCATCATCATCATCATCATCATCATCATCATCATCATCATCATCATCATCATCATCATCATCATCATCATCATCATCATCATCATCATCATCATCATCATCATCATCATCATCATCATCATCATCATCATCATCATCATCATCATCATCATCATCATCATCATCATCATCATCATCATCATCATCATCATCATCATCATCATCATCATCAATCATCATCATCATCATCATCATCATCATCATCATCATCATCATCATCATCATCATCATCATCATCATCAACAGCAGTACATCAGCCATTTGAACTGATGCTTCGCTGACATACAACCATGATGACCTATCGAATAAAGAATAATAAGAGGGACAGAAGAGGAACTTGCCGGAAAACCATAATGCCCTAAGCAAACATTCAGGGTCAAGACGCCCACACTTTGTGTAGACAACATACCGTCACAAACAGCTGGCTATCGTGCAAAAATAAGGCGGCATCGGCGAGACAGCTTCCTTGCGGCTTTCACTGCCACGCGTCATAATCAGCCATTACCCCGCAGATAACTCAGCACCAAACACACTTTAAACAGACAATCCGATTAGGAGACGGCAGCAGACGCGCCACTGGTGTCTACTGCGAGCCATGTCCTGTAAAGTCTCGAGCCAAGCACAAGGCGAGTCACGTGGACTCCAGCCCGAAAGGCGAGACGGACCAACGGCACCTAGTTTGGTCGTCAGTGACTTCATTTCCCGCTGCCAAGTCAACTTCTCTCCACCTCGAGCCTTGCGCCACCCTACACCTGG